GGAGGATTGGGGTGGGTGGGGTTGGCACCTCTAACCCCCAGGTTGTCAAGGGTGTACTGTATATCCTTTGGAAAACATGTCATGGATTGTGTAGGTATGTATTTTTAATAAGTGGACTAGCTATAAATACCCGACAACTGTGTTTTAGATCTGTATTGCTCTGTGTTTAGTTTGTTATTTTAGATAATCATATAATATTTTCATAGTATATATCCACCTCATTTTACTTATCCTTTCCCCCAAGAATGGGAACTATTTCTAACTTCCACATTACAAATAATGCATGTAGGACTCTCCAGGCACATATTCTCAAAAGGATCTGGATGTGGGTATTTCTCAAATATATACCCAGAAGTTGATTGCTGGATTATAGGGCATTCTCATACTTAATTTCCCCAGTATTGACTGTTAGATTGCTTTCTAGAACCAGTGGACTAGTTCATATTCCTTGCAACAGAATCTGATAGTTTCTGTCATTCCTATTCTTTGCAACACTTAATATTATCCAGTGTTCTATCTAGTTTTTTGCAATTCTAATAGACAATGTAGAATTTACTGATGTTTAAACTCAGTATTTTTGTTGCTAGTGGTGTTGAGCTTTTCATCATATGCTTATTAGACATCTGGCCCTTTCCTGAGATTTACCTTTTCATATACTTTGCCCATTTTCCTATTTAGTATTCCATTATTTTCTTGTTGATTTGCATAACGTTTTTGTTTTGTTTTTGCTTTTATTTGTTTTGAGGGGAGGATAGTCTAGATATTTCCTTTGCCTTTAGATATTACAGATATCTTCTCTAGTCTGTTCACTGTTTTAGGGTGTCCATTGTGAACCCTGAGAAATAAGGTACCTACTAATAAGTTACTAACTAAACTTGAATTAAAGACAAAACAAAATAGAGCCTAGCAACCACTTCTGTACAGGGATTCTATGCAAACTGAACTTCAAGGTAAGGCCTGCACTGACCTGTCTGCCTGCCCTGTGTTCCTGCCATGGGAGCCAGCCTTTATAAAAGAGTTCCTGGAATCCTATTTCAGCGAATAGGACTGAGGCTTTCCCCAGCCAATCAGAGCTCTGACCAATCAGAGAGGATCTATTTTTACCAATCAGGACAGTGCTTTTTGGACCAATCACACCGCGAGTCCTCATTTGCATGAAGATGCGCCATCAGAGACCCACTGGGAGTTCTGTCTGTATAAGCCAACTCCCCTCTGGCTCAGGGGAGTACACCGTTGTAGGCTGCATTGTTTCCCTAACTAGAGCTGAAACACTGAAGATAGCAGAGCAGAGCCCAGCGGACACCATCATTGAACAATAAATGTTCCTTTTGGTGAAGGTGAACCCATACAATTTTGACATTGTGATCTGAAGATTTAGCTTCATGTTCAAAAGTCTTTATCCACGCATAGACTGCAAAAATGACTTCCTTCTACATTTTATTTTATTAGCTTTTAACTTTTTACAGTTAGGTCTTTATTGGAGTTCACTTCTGAATATAGCATAAGGCATGGACCCAAACTTATTTGGGTAAGGTTTAGCATTGTTTTGAAAGTTCAAGTATAATCAAAGCATGAACAAGTTCTTGCTTTGTTAGTTGGAAAAACCCAAAGATTGAATAACTGGAAATCACGTAGAATTGATTTCTTTTGTTTGTTTATTTTGTTAGAGGACCATCCAAAGAATTCCTTCTTGGTTCTGGCTCCAAAGAAAAATGCTTGACATTTAGTACCTGTATTAGTCTTCTAAGACTTCCACAACAAAGTTACACGGTCTATGTGGCTTAAACAACAGAAATTTATTGCTTCACAGTTCTGAAGGCAAGAAGTAGATCAATATTGTCAGCAAGGTTGAATTCTTCTGAAGCTTCTCTCCTTATTGCACTCATGGCTGTATTCTCCCTGTGTCTTCACATGGTATTCTCTCTGTGTGTCTATGCTCTGACATCCTCCTCTTGTGAGGATACCAGTCATACTGGATTAGGGCCCACCCTAATTGTTACAGGCACCTCTCACAGATGCCTGAGAGATATTGTTGGACAGCCCCCTGAGTCAGAAGGAGAGGGCTGTCCCCACCCCAGTTTTTGTCTTCTCATATAAATGAATTTAAATGAGAGACTCTGATTGCTTTGTGATAAAGCCAATTTATTAAAGCAATTATAACAAGCAAATTTATTAAAGAAGCAAAGCAAGCAAATCTATCATCTGGCTTATAAAGTGCAGACAGCTCTCAGCTAATCTGAAGAGTAGTTGGGTGGGGGTTTGAGGCATTATAGACCCTTCTATCTATAGGTTTCAAAATTCTTCTGCTGAATATTTTGATATAGATTAATTCTCAAGGTCCCTTTTTACTTTGTTGTGGCCTTCCCAGAATTCATGAGAAGCACCTTTGGCAATTTTATCTTGCCAAACCTTGAGACTGCTGGCTTTTCTGCTTAGGGAGTAATACTTCCCTTTTTTCCTTTCCCATTTCCCCCTTCTTTCCTGCATTCTCTTATTAGGGAGGCTCTTAACCATTTGTTCTCAAGTGTCCCTGGTTTGGGGAAGATAATGGCTTATTATTTATAATCCTGCTGCAAATTGCCCACACTGTTTGGCCTTGTTTTAACTTTTCTGTCTCAGTTTCCCTGTTCCTCTTGCCCTGGAATTTTCATAGCTTTTCACTGCGTTGTAATATGATGACCTCATTTCACCCTAATTACCACCTTAAAGACCCTATGTCTTCAAATATAACCACATGCTAAGGTACTGGGACTTAGGACTTCAGCATATGAATGGGGGGGCACCTACCTATGTTTTCACCTATGGTTATGGTGGCTGAATACGTTTGTTGTTAATACAAGTTCAAGGGACATTTCACTTTTGATAAATTTAGAATAACTTGGAAAAAATATAATGTTTCTCCTTTTAATTGTGAATCTGTCTTGTGTAAACTCTCAAGAAACAATCATTATGTTATTGCCTTTAAACAGAATACCTCTAGAAATAAGGGAAGATTTATATGAAGCAGAGAAAACAGGTATCATTTGAGGGCTCTTTAGTTCTATGCTAAGACTTTAGTTTCAAATGTTGTATAATGTGTTGTAGTTAGAATGAAAGCTAAGCTACAGTTAGAGAGAGTCTCAAAAACATAATTGCTGAAGTGAATAGAAACGTATTTTTCTCTTACTTCAGGTTGACTTTGCTCCATCTGGGCATTCAGGGTTACAGGTTCCTTCCGTGTTGGTGTTACCCTCGTCGGCGAGATCCGTGCTGGCCGTAGGCATGTCTGTATTTCAGCTTGGGGAAGGTCAGGTGAACAGAGGAGTGCATATCGGGTACCTCAGCCCCAGACCAAGAAGTGGAATCCATCACATCCCACGTTGTTCCGCTGGTGAGAACCTAGTCCCATGGCCACATCCAGGGGGCTGTGAATGAGGCCTTCTGCTGAACTGTTGTGTGCCGGGCTACAATGAAAGAAGGGGAGGACTGACTTTAGTGGACTGTTAGTGGTCTCTAGTGCACAATGGAAGTTTTAGTAGCTGATACAATATGTCTCCTATCAAAGTGGCAACATGCTTAAGTTTCTGTGGTGTTCCCTTGCTTCTGACCTCCTAGCAATCTTGCCTTCTCTGTTTCATTCTACATACTCTCTTGAATTTTCTTGGCAACTGGGTCATTGACCTGTGGTAGAAGATCAACAGACTCCATATTCTTTTTTTTTAGAAAATTCTCCCCATCTTAAAAACAAAAGCAAAACAAAACACACACTCAAAATCAGGCAAATGCCTTTTACTATTTTTACTTTTCTCCGAAGTGTCACATCTTTTGAGTAGAGTACTCTGTTTCCTTTTCAGTTCATAGAAGTATAAAGCAAGAGTCACCTGAGCTTGAGTTTATGGACACCATTCTGTTGGTTTAACATCCAGCTGGCACTGGGTAATACTGTAGCAACTTTCTGTTTCACTAATAGAAGGGAATTCATGGATTGACAGAAGCTATTGCCAGTGGAGGAAACAAGAACATAAACAGATGCACACCATGCACACTACGGTACACTTTTAATTTCCCAGAGATAGTATTTCCTATGGTGCTGGCAGCATTTCCTCCCTTCCTTGACAGGATGTTATTAGTGTGCTGACAGATTCCTTTCTCAGAATGTTCCTGCTGGGTGAGAGCTGCTATTATGTGAGGCACAGGTGTGCTGGGGTTTCCTTGGGAGATTACAGACTGTGAGTACAGAAAGTTGATAAAAATGTACAAACATGTTTTTTGAGAAGACATTTAAGAAGGGATCTTGATCAACAGTGTTAATCCATGTCTTTGCAAGCAAAATGGAAAAGAGGCTTTCCTCTTTATTGTTGGAAATATGTATCAATATTGCATTGTTAAAATTATGCAGGCCCCATTTCTCTGTATGCTTAAAATGAGTACTGAAGGCAGAGATGGAAGGCACCCCCTACTGGAGCAGTCTTCTGGCAGCATCGAATCCTCGTTCAGGAGGATTTCACTTGTGCCCACCCCCACTCACCCATATAGAACTCCCCTGTTGAGTGAGATGATGTTTTATCCAGTCCTTGTACAGTGTTGTCCCATTCTGAGGTTTTCTTTTGGCATATCTGGCAGCCCTACTCCCTGACAGGGGTAAGTAATCAGCAGACATTCTGGCCCATATAGTTCTTTTAAGCTTCAGAATTGCCTCACAGCAGGTACTTTTCAATCATTTCAAAATTTCTCAACTTGCTTGGTAGCCACGTTATTCATATTTTATTTTCCTTTCTATTTCCCCAAAGAGGCAAGAGTTCAACTGTATAGGTAAGTAACTGTGGGAGTAGATTATAGTTTATAAAAGAGGTGGGAGAAGCTGCTACTCCAGGACTTTAGCGATGTAACTTACAGATCTAGAAGAAAACTGCAAGAATTCAGCTGGTTCACCCAGCTACTGCCACGTAGGATCATCTGGAACTGACCATGTTACTGGTCAGCCAGTGTCTGTGGTGCAGAGAAAAGGGGCTGCAGGATTTGTAGTAGTAGCCCATTGTGGTTTTAATTTTCATGTCCCTAGTTACTAACACTGTTGAACTTCTTTCATTTCCTTATTAGCAAATCATATATTGTTTTGGTAATGTGTCTGTTTGAATCCTTTGCTGTTCTTTTTATTAGGGTGTTTTTTTCTTAATAATTTTGAGATTTTGCCTGGCCGGTGTGGCTAGTGGTTGGGCATCGTCCTATGGTCCAGGAGATCAAGGTTCGATTCCCGGTCAGGGCACCTGCCTGGGTTTCAGGCCCAGTCCCCAGCAGGGAGCATGCAGGAGGCAGCCGATCAATGACTCTCTCATTGATGTTTCTCTCTCTCTTCCTCTCTCTCTTCCTCTCTCTCAAACCAATAAAAATATATTTAAAAAATAATAATAATTTTGAGATTTCTTTATATAGTCTGAACACAAGTCCTTTATGGGGTGCATTTGTAAATGTTTTCTCCCAGACTCTGGCTTGTCCTTTTATTTTATAAAAAGTGTCTTTGAAGAGTATCATAATGACCGGTCATTTTTGGGAGTCCCAGAATCCTTGCTTCCACCTGGGGCCACTCTGAAAGGACACCTGAGGTCCAGAGCTCCCTGTGGGATGGGCAGAGGCCTCTGTTGCAACTGCATTGTGGGTCAGCTTCTCCATCTGCTCAACCAACCACCTCACTTCTCCACATCTCTCATTCCAGTACCCTCTGGTACTCTACAATAACCCCCTACATGCAAGTCTCCACCTCAGGGTCCATTTCCGGGAACTAAGTCGAAAACAAGAGCCGTGACTGTCTTCCTTACTCTGTAAACGAATCCTGCCTTATGCGCACAGGAAAGTGTACATTGAAGCACATCTGTCTCTAGTTACAATTCTGGAAATGAAGTCTAACTCAGGGATATTCTTAACTATCTTGTTTCCTTAAAGGATCTATATGTTACTTCCTCAGAAGGAGCCGCTGAACAGCATGCCACCTGCTTGCCTTTCACGTGGCTCCGGATGTTGTGCTCCCTTGTGTCCCCAGCCTCTCCCCTGCTAGCCTATCTCACCTCTCTCCTGCCCTCTGACCTTAGCCATTTACATATTCAGTAGAGGGATTTGCACTCTGGTGCCTTACAACTGACTGGTACAGATGATAGATGGACCCTGATACATAACGGATGCGCCTCGAGTCGTCTGGATTTTGTGGCAGCTCCACGATTTATATATAGGAGTGGCTCAGGCAGCTCTGTTACAGGGGGTGGAGCACAGAATGGAGTTGTCTGAACCTGCATTTGCAAAACACTTCATGTAAGACTGGAAAAGCGTCTTTTGTACATAGTAAAAGATAAGGGTTGAGGTTGATGGAAATTACACCATGTCTCTCCAAGCCACCCCTTGGCACTGACGTTTCTTGAATGACTTGTTATCTTTATGTTTAAGATGAATTTGGTGTTTAGTACATGGATGCTCCCTCCTCCTTTCAAAAGCTGGGTCTGATCTCTCTTTTTAGTTTTTCTCCCCGACAGTTTGCCTTTCCTCATTCAAGTGTTTGGATAGTAAATTTACCTTTACACATGTTTGCGCTCCCAGCTATACATATCAATTTGTAAAAAGCCAAACGGAGAACAGCTTAGCGTCGCTGAAATGTCAGGAAAATGCCCAGAAGGCTCCAATTCAATACTGGAGTTTCAAATTTTGAGACTAGAATTAGGTCACTAAATCAGTTTCCTGCCTGTGTCACAGACCATAGGGATATGTCCTACTTCTTTTTTTAAAAAAAGGGCATTTGAACCTCACTCAGTATAACTCACAGATCTGCACTGAGGACCTGTGGGAAACCTTTGGACGTGAAACTAATTGAAATCTGCATTGAAATGGCCTTTTCCTTTCTTTATTAAATATCTGATTTGCTGGACAAACTTTTTTTTTTGGCTTGCTTGCATTACTTTTTTTTTTTTTTTAGCTGCACAAATTGGCTATTCTCCAAGACTGAAAGGGAAGAACGAAAAAGAAAAGAAAAAAATCAGGACTGAATCCTGCTACTTGCTACATCATGGGTACAACTTTTCCTTTTGTGTTCAGCCAAGGACACATGTCCTTTGGTTTAGAGGAGAGAGGAGCTGGTTGTCAACACAAAGTATTACCATCATGTTTCCAGTGCCACAGTTGAAGCAAAAATGTCCTTTTTATTCGAAAAGTGAGGAAAGGTGAAAACATGTATCTGGGGCCATCGTTATCGTTCAGCCCCGCACCATAAACACTGTGCCTCTGATTGCAGGCTGACTTTGCGCAGGACCGCATTTCCCTCCCAGGGCTGCACAGACTGGCTTTGCGCCCGGCTCCGAACCAGCGCGCTCCCTGTTCTCTCTCGTACTCCTGCTGCCCCTCCCGGGGCAGTGATGGTTCTGTGCACGTAGGTGCCATGTGTTCAGAGGTTAGGGGTGCCTGGTGAGCAGGAATAAACCAATGGCTTTATCAGGGACTGTACAAATCTACCCATCTTCTAGACAATAACTGAAAGACCTCCCTTGGGAAAGCAATGTTTTCCTTTGGAAATTGCGGGTTAAAAATGTATTTACAAACTGTGCCTGTACCCTCTTTCCCACTCTCTCATTTCTTTTACTTTTTAAATTTAAATTTGTAATTGCATTTTATAGCCAGAAAAATTGTAGAACGGTTAATTTTTAATATTCTATAGAAAAAAATGGAAAAACAAATTTTGTCCAGGAGATTTACTGAGATTTCTCTAGCAAATCTAAGAGAAGTCTTAGAAGACTGAAGACTCATGCCTTTCATAAAAACCCCTCTAATTCTTACTTTCATACAAACCTGGGAAGTTAAAGATACAACAGGTTAAGGATTATTGCAGTTTGTTCAGTAGGGAGCTTAGTAAGAAAATTTACTTATTTTAACATTTAAAACTTGTTGGTCTACCCCGTGCATTTCTAGATGATGGGAAAGCTTTTCTCTAAGGATTGATCAGTGCTGGCAACTCTGCAGAAGAAACTCTGGTTTGATTTATCTTTTAGGACTGAAATGTATGTGTCCCAGGGTTTAGAGGGAAAGGGGTTCTCCCTTCTCTCTCCCAGCTGTTGCTCTTTGCACCTAAGGTTAGTTTAATGTGAGGAGTGAGCTACTCCACTGCTGCTGACTTTGATTTGGATTTCCAACTACAGGACTTTTCAGAGGACACACCAAATCTCTGGTGGGGTGCAGCGCAGGTGTGTGTGTGCAGACACTGGTTTGCTCCCTGACGCATCTCAGGAATGGGTGCTTTCTCCCTGCATGTTGACTTTAACGCCAGTGGAGCAACCCAGAAACAGGCTGCTCCACCTTTATGTGTGAGCAGGAGAGAAATGTTCCTTTTCTGGTACATTTATCTCTAGCACTTTGACA